GGAGTCATACAACAAGCAAATTAAATCCCTATATTTTGTGAGACTCCAGCCATGCACAGTGCAGGGGTCAAAGATAAAGGTCCCAACCCACTCCTCTAGGGAGCTCCTGATGGTAAGAGCCAACCAAGCTGGTCAGTGGCACGTGCCTGTAATCTCAGCAACTTGAGGCAGGAGGATTGCCAAGTTCAAAGCCCTAAGTAATGAGAAAATAAAAAAGGCTGGGGATGTGGTTCAGTGGTTGTGTTTCCCTGGATTCATCCCTAGTACCCCAAATAAAACAAAACAATAAGACAACACCCGGAGCTCTACCCAGAGATGGTGGAAAGTTCTGGAGGTCTGCAGGGCGGATAGCTTTAGAGGGTCCTGGGTTGGCCTCTGTGGTACCTTCACTCTTCATTCAGTGGCTCTTTCTTCTGTCGTTTCACCTTCTTGCCCACCTGGCAGGACGGGTCATATTTCTTGGCTTTACTCCAGATAAGAGAGGAGGACTGAGTAGAAAGTTGAGAGGTTGAAAGGAACAATTGCCTACCTCCCATTTCCACGTTGCCCTTTGTGACTTCCTCTGCTGGGAGTTTTCAAGAGCAGTGGTGTTTCCTTACAGAAAGTGCAGGCGYGAAAGAAATGGGAGAGAAAAAGTGCAACTGACGACATTAACTCTTTTCCTTTTATTTTTTAAGGGGGAGTCTTGTGAAGCCTCCCAGGGTGGTTTTGAACTCCTGCCTCAGCCTCCAGAGTAGCTGGGAGTACAGGCATGTGCCACACCTGGATCGCATCAACTCTTTGTTTAACTGCACACTTACTATGCGGCAAGACACCGCTTGGGAGCCCCTCCCCAGGCGTCATCTGTAGCGTGGAGTCTTGGGAATCAGGGCCACTGTGAATGTTCTCCGAGGCCTGGTGCACACTGCACAGTTCCCGGGACTTAGGCTGGGGTTTCCGCTCTGCTGCGCGATCTGGGACCAAGGAGGCCTAGCGGCTACGTGGGGTAACCAATGGCATAACGGTGCCAGAACTTGAACCCCGAAGGTCCTCTCCGTCAGACCTGGAGCCTGGGTCCGCGCCTACATCTGGAGGCACGGCCCCGGTGGGCTACGCCCACAAGTTGAGACTGGCGCCGCACCTTCCACACCGTTCCATCCCGGSGCCCAGCTGCCTCCGGCTCCCCCCCACCAAGGCACCGCGGCGGGGGCGTGGCCGGCCGGGCGCGCGCCCGGGCCTGGTCCCGCGAGAGCCGACCAGGCAGAGGGGTCGGGAGCGCGGCGCGTGTTGCTAGGGGCGACGGCTCCCGGACGCGCAGGCGCAGTGAAGCACGCCCGCCCGTCGACTCGCCGCCGCCGTGCCTTCCCCTTTAAGCTGAGGCCGGCCGCGTCGCCGCTTCATGAATGGAGCCCACGTGACCAAACATCATGTGACGTCTGAGGAGCGGCGGCGGCGGCGGCGGCGGCGGATCCCGAGCCCGGTCCGGCCCGGCCTTCCCAGTGCGCTCGGCTCGGCCCGCGCAGGCGGCCAGCACCCCCAGCCCCGGCCCGGACCCCTCGCGCCGGCCCCAGCCCCGCGCGGCCCCGYCCCGGCCCGCCCGGGCCCGCAGTGTGGTGAGTGCGCGGGGCCGGGGCCGGGGCGGCGGGGCAGCGCGAGCGGGGCGGCGGGGCCCGGCCGCGGGTGTGYTTCGCGCCCCGTCGCGGCCCGCGCCTCGCTTTGCCCACCGGCCAGGACCCAGAGCCTGGTCACCGCCGCCGGGTGCCGTGGGCCCGGAGACGGCGAGGCCGAGAGCGGGTGGCGCGCGGCGGACAGACCCCGGCGCCCCGCGGGGGGCGCGAGGGAAGGGCGGGGCCGGGCGGGCGCGGGGTCCGCGGGCGGTCGCGCCGGGCCGAGCTGCTGACTCATCAGGTGTCTGTGGCGCCTCCGCGCGCTGGGTCCCCGCGGGTCGGCAGGGGCGGCGGCGGCGGCGGGGAGACCCCGCTGCGCGGCTTCGGCCCGCCACGCGCGTGCGAGCCCAGCGGAGACGTGCTGAGTCATCAGCATGAGGTCACTCGGTGCTCCCGCTGACGCTCGGCTGGGGCGGGGGCGGGGGCCGGGCCCGGCCGCGGCGGCCGGAGGAGGGCCAGGTGCGGGGCGGCGAGGGTCGGGCCCTGTTCAAGTTTTGCGGACTGCGAGGAGGGCGTGGGTGTCGCGCTGCAGGTTTTCTCCCGGGTGGAAGGTGAAGCCCGGGCCTGCGCATCCCTCTCAGGCAGTTCCCCGGGCAGCTGGCCCTGATCCCACGGCTGGGGCAGTTCCCCAAACTGGGAAACAGTTTTCTGAGTGCGAAGATGGGAGGAGCTTAGGTGGGTTGAGCTTGCCCGGCTGGGAAGCAGGCATTCTCTGCGACTGGTAGGGCCCGGCGACTGGTCTGGCCGGCCAGGCTGGGCCTCCCCTGATGGAGAAGACAGGAGGCAGTGGGAGAAAAAGGGGTGTGTGACATAGAGGAAGCAGGGACAGTTTTACCAGGAAATTGCGAATGAGAGGAAGTGGGGGACCTAGACAGCAGGTGGGAACCTTGGGTTACCGGCATGGTATAGAAGAATGCAGTTCCAGTCCCCCTAAAGTTTGCCCACGTGAGTGTGGGGTTTCAGTGTGGTGTAAAGTTAGCGAAGACTGTGCCCTGATGGGTGTGTAGCCTAGTAGCTGGGGGTTCAGAAGGTGACAGCCTGAGAGTGGTGTGGCTTTGGAGGGCTGGAGCAGAAAAATAGGCACTTACTCTTCTGTACTGCTTCTTTTGCTCAGGGTTCCTGGCTGGGTTAGGCTGACATTGTGGTTTGCACTCAGGGATGCTCCCAACCCAAATGCTGTACTCTTACTTAGACTCTTGCTTACTGAACCCTGGGGCTTGTAGGGGCCAGGTGTTTTCACACTTTAGCTCATCCTTGGTGTAGAATTATTTTGTCCCAGGAAAATTCAGAGTTCCAGAGAGTGTGTGTGTGTGTATGTGTGTGTGTTTAAGTCTTCTTAGTCATTTGTTTCAGTGGAAACTAAACTTTCGATTGTTTTCGAAAGGTGATTGGAGAGGATGGGTCTGGAGTTTCAGGTGCCAGAGCATCCAAACTCCTGCCTAGGAATTTTGGTAATTAGGGTTTGCAGGCCAGGACGAAGGAGCAAGGACAGCTGTCTTGCCACTTGCTTTTCCTTTCTTGGCTCTCAGCCTTGAGTGGTTGGCCCAGAGTCTCTTGGAAGTCTTTGGGTGTGACCAGCAGTGCCTCCTCCATGAGGCAGGGTTGGCCTATAGGTAAGCGAAAGGTGAAGGATGCCTGGGCCCCTTCACCAGGCTTCAAGACCCCAAGGAGGGCTGAGATGRGGTCAGTGCCACAGGGCCAGGGAACGAAAGCGTCAGGGTCAACTCCCGTACACTCACCTGACTCTTTGGCACCCCTTGATCATCCAGCCTTGGGATCCCCCTCCTCTGGCTCAGTGTTTCTCCAGGCAGGCAGCTGGAAGCACCAGCTTGCTGAGACCTGCCCCTCCCCCACCATGCACACATGCACACACACATGCACACACACACCTTTGATTAGGAGACGATTGGCTGTACTTGTGCTGAGTTCAGGCCTTCTGCAGAGGGTGAAATCTGTTGAGGAGGCACTTTTTGGCTCCCAGCTGCCACGCTCGGCACTTTTCTATGTGGTCTCCTCAGGAAGTCACCATTGTCATTGTGCTTAGCAGTCAGGGTAGGGAAGGACAGGGGTGAGAAGAGCCTGTGCCAGGGCAGCATCCCTGCATCCTGTCTGTGCTCAAGGTGGGAGAGCTCCTGTAGGCTCTGCTCTGCAGACCTGGCTCCTGGAGTGGGCTTGGGGCCAGCATGTGGGACAGGCAGATCCCCTGAGGACCTGTAACTCTGATCTTCTGCCTTTTGATCTGGAAGAATTCTTGCCTCTCTGATGCTCTTGGTGGCCTGGTGTGGCTTCTCTAGCCTATTCTGCATGCAACCTGGTCTCTGGGTGCAAGGCTARGTGATGTAGGGTCTCTAGTGGGAACATGTACCCCTACTTCCCCAGCCACACTCTATCTCCCCTGATGAGGGTGAGGGTGAGAAGTCCCCTCAGCCCCCCTTCCCCACAGTTGTCTGAAGTGCTTGGCCCTGCTCTCCAGTTACCTCCTGTATCTAACCTGGAAAGGAGTGGGTAGTACACTGGGRTGGTCTTTGCCCAAGGGTCTGGTGGAGGCTGAGCCGGGTGGAGATTCCCTGGACTAGGTGCACAAAAATGTTCTGGCAGGGCTTCAGAAAACAGAAAGTGAGGTTGGGGTGCCAAAGAGTCAGGTGAGTGTATGGGAGTTGACCCTTGTGCTTTCATTCCGCGGCCCTGTGGCATGGACCCCAGACAAGGAGTCAGAGCAGTCAGGCTGACTCTTGCCTTCCTCCAACTGAGCAGGCCCCCAGTGCGGGTAACTGGGGAACTTTGTGAAACACCCTGGTGGGGGTGAGGCAGGGCATAGGATGCTGCAACTTAAAGCCACAGGATGGTTACTCCATCATTAAAGGAGGTGGACAGGGAGGACTGGTGGGGTCTGGAGTCTCTTCCTAGCTGGATAGCCTGCTAACTGGAAAGTGGTGGGAATCTCTGACCAGCCCTGAAAACACAGCATAGCTGGGAGGCCCACCCCTGACCTCAGACATCTTTGGGAGATTGAGGCCTGAATCCCCAAGGGACAACCCCCTGAGCCCTGGAGGGAGCAGGAACCTGAGGACTTAGAGGAGACAGCAGTAGGAGGTGGGACCCTAGGATACACAGCACAGTCGCTGGCTGGCCCTCACCTGCTKTTGGCACCAGCAGCAGGTCTCCTGGGGCGCTGGCTGTTGGCTGGCCTCAAGAGCAGGCTGGGCTTGGAGGGAGGGGTATGCTGAGTCAGCATGACTCGCCAGGCACAGTGAGCTCTGGGGCAGCACTGGGGTTATTTTTAAAGCTCCGCTTCCTTCTAGGCTTGCCCCTCCCGCAGATTATTCCTTCTAATCTCTCCCCCTGCCCCTTTGTCTTGCCCCTGGCTCCCTCATAGCCTTCAGTTCCCCTTCCCCCATCAGATCTCCCTGACCTGGTTCTCTAGGGGCAGGGTGGTCAGGAGCAGCCCAACTCAGGAGAGGCAAAGCCCAAAGGTACCAGGGGAATGGGCATATTAGGGGCAGGGCTCTGGGGGCTGGGTGGCAGGCTCCCTGGAAGGATGTGTAGGTGAAACTTGTGTGAACTGGGGAGGGCAGGGCAGGGATGGCGTGGTCTGCAGGGTCCTGACCCCTGCCCTGTGTCTTGCAGAGTGGCTGCTCACTGTGCCCCGGGTTATGACGACCCCTAATAAAGGAAGCAAGGCCTTGAAGGTGAGTGGGCAGAACAGGGGAGGCTGTGGTTGGGCAGCGTGGAGCGAGCGCCCTGCTCAGCTGCCACCCTGCGCTCTGCTACTGTAGGTGAAGCGGGAGCCAGGTGAGAATGGCACCAGCCTGACGGATGAGGAGCTGGTGACCATGTCGGTTCGTGAGCTGAACCAGCACCTGCGGGGCCTGTCCAAGGAGGAGATCATTCAGCTGAAGCAGCGCCGTCGCACACTCAAGAACCGGGGCTATGCGGCCAGCTGCCGCGTGAAGCGGGTAACACAGAAGGAGGAGCTGGAGAAGCAGAAAGCCGAGCTGCAGCAGGAGGTAGAGAAGCTGGCCTCTGAGAATGCCAGCATGAAGCTGGAGCTCGACGCCCTGCGCTCCAAGTATGAGGCCCTGCAGAACTTCGCCAGGACCGTGGCTCGCAGCCCTGTGGCCCCAGCTCGGGGCCCCCTTGCCGCCGGCCTGGGGCCCCTGGTCCCTGGCAAGGTGGCCGCCACCAGTGTCATCACAATAGTAAAGTCCAAGACGGACGCCCGGTCATAGGGACATGTGGGATTGCCGGGCAGGTCTTCGAGGGGCCACTAGGCGCATGGCGAAGTCAGCAGCCCTGTCCCACTTCTTCCTCCTTTTCCCTCTCCTTCCTCTTCCCCTTCTCCCTTCCTTTCCCTTCCCTGAAAAGCACAACCTGTTCCCCAGGGGCACTGGGCTGAGCCCCTTTGATCTCATCTTGTCGTCAGTGCGTGTGTTTGTACGCTGGGATTGGTCAGTTCGGTGGTGATGTTGGGTTGCTCCTAACCCTCTCAGTACCTAGGCCATGCAGGCTAGGAGTCTAGAGTGGGCACTATGGGAATGGACAAGAGAATGGGAAAGCCAGTGAGCAAACTGGGCCTCAGGGTCTGCCCTCCCCTCCTGGGTGCCCACAGCCCACAGCCCACAGGCTGCCGGGCTCAAATGGGACTGGAGGGGTTCTCTCTCTTCAGACCTGGCAGGCAGCTCAGCTCAGCCCAGAAGGAAGAGAGGGGCTCTGCTCTGAAGAGTGGGGTGTCCTTGAGGGCCCTGGACAGGTAGGTCACCTGCCTGGGCACTGTGGGTGCTGGGGCARGGGCTCTGGCGCTCAAACCTGACACGGTGCACTGAACAAGACCAAATCACTGGCCGTGAGTGTGCGTGGAAGGTATGTCAGTGTGTCCTGCAATGGGTCCCGTGTCACTGTTTACATGACCTATTTGTGTGGTTATATAGCCCTTTATTTAAAAGAGAAGTTCCTTTTACRAAGTTATTAAATTATATGTTTAAGAGCTAAAGAGAAAAAAAAGAGCTGCAGAGTATTTATAAAATTGTCTTTTAAAAAAAAGCAAGTAAAAAGAACATTTGACCATATAAATGGAAAAGGGAAGAAAGTATAATAGTAACTTTGCTAGTTTAAAAAAAAAAAAACCCAAAAAACAAAAACAAAAAAATCCCTTCTTGTAAACTTACGGACAACTCTTTGTGGCTGTTGGAATTTAGTTTTTATATACACAGARTTATCAGACATTATTTATAAAACTTAGTTTAAAAAAAAAAAAAAAAGCCAAGCCGCGCGCCGACCAGAGGCCGTCCTCTTTGATATCTCTTTTGCAATTGTACCGAAAGTGACTTACTACTCCTTTGCCCTTCCTGCTTCCGTCTCTTGCCGGTGCCGTGGTGTTGTCCGTGCCTGGTGAGGTTTTGTGCAGCCCGTAAAGTGCTGGTGCTTCTGGTGACCTTTGACCTGTGGCCGTCCCTTCTTGTGTATTTTCCCGTGTTTGTTTTTTGGGTTTGGTTGTGTTTTTGCTTCTGCTGGCTTGTTGGACCTCAGCCRAGCCGGGGTCCCTGATGGCGCCTCCTCTACTGGAGTGAGGGCGTCTGCCTGCCAGCCCAGCCTTTTCTGCTTTCAGAGCCTGCCCCTTGCCCAGGTAGTCTGCCAGGGGTCTCTGCCACTCCCACCTGTGCTGAGCCTTGGCTTCATTGGTGGGTCTGTGGCTTGGGCTGACCCACTGGCTGTGTAGGTGAAATTGAGGGGGCGTCCAGAGCCTCAGTGCTGCTTCCACAGTCACCACCCCTGGCCCTACCTGGGTGGTGGTATTGCAGGGACCAAGGAGTCACTGTGGGTTCCCACAGGGCCATGGCTAAGCTGTTCCTGGCTGTCTTCCTCCTGGCTTTGGCTTTATTCCTGTAGGCCACAGATGGGGTGGGACACTCAAGGAACCCACCCTAATGGGTTGCAAATCCTACTGCTCACTTACCCCTTAGCTGTTTCCATGCTGTGGTGTGTTGCTTCCTGCGCAGAATGGACAGGGCCCCACCTGGGGAGCCCATTCTCTGCTTCACTGTGAGGGCCTAGGCAACTTCCACCAATTCCAGACAAGGGCTTGGACTCCAAAGCTGGCTCTGTCCCTTCCCTGCTAGTCTCTGCTGGCAGCTCTTGGCTCCAGGCCCTTCTTCCTCCTCTCTTTGGGAATCTGTGTCTTCCAGGGATCGCTGCTCAACTTGGAGGTGCTTCTCTGTGGGGTCCCAGCCCACTTCCCTGTTCCAGCTACCTGGCAGAGGCTGCCAAACTTCTGGGCTTGGTTCAGGAAGCTCCTCATGGGATGTGACCAGAACTGGTGCCTATGTCCCTCTGCCCCCAAAAGAGGTATAGCCCCATCTCTGGGCATGTGGCTTTGGCCTCTAAACAGGGTTGCTGGTGTCCTCTTAGGGGGGCCCTGGATTCCTGAAAAGCACAGGAATGTGGGCTGGTGAGAGGAAAGACTTCCGMTTCATGGACAACAGGATTTTCACCCCGAATTCGATCTGGTGTGCTGTGGGGTGGGAGCTGGGCATCTGCCAGCTCCAGTCTTGAGGGGCTTCTTTAGTTTAGGGTGCTCAGACAGACCTGTTGGTACCTGTGGCTGCTACAAAATGGGAATTCTGACTTGACTGAGTCACCTGATGACTTCATGCCTTCCTTCAGTCTGGCTGTCTAAATGGGAGGCAGAAGCAAGCTGCTGCTGTTGGCTACAGCAGCATAGTTGGAATGGATCAAGTTTGTCCCTAACAGGGGGGTAGGGGCAGGCCCTGTATGTCGTCTGGTCCTGGCTGGGGTGGGTGGGGTCATCACCRCCAGGTGATGAACAATGCTCTCCAGGTGTAGAGCTAGAGAGCATGTGGTGGGTGCGGTGAGGAAGAGGTTGGGCCAGTGCTGAGCAGAAGTTGCTGTCTTGGTTTGGTGTACAGAAGTAGCTCTGGGGTTGGTGAAGCTGTGCTTCCTTCTGTGGTTTTTGGATTTGGAGCAACTGTTCCTTGGGTCCATCAAACCAGGGCCGCACCACCCCTTTCCCTTCACCTTGATTTCTTGACAGTAAATCCTGTGTCCACATGTGACTATTGGCTGTCTTTCTGATCCTTGTTGATTATGTTTTCTTGCTGTGAGGGTATTGTGTTCTTTTTTAACTCAGCTTTTCTGACACAGTGAATTGAGGGTTTTGGCTGAGGCCAGGTCTTCCAGACTTGTCCGCCTAGTAAACCATAATGTGTGTCTTCCCTCCTATCTTGACTTTGCCCCCTTCCTCCTTTATCCTAATGTGGATGCTCAGATTTCAGAGGGGAKGGGGAAAAAGTGAACAGGTCAGCTCTTGCCAAAATCAGTGGCCCCAGAGAGCTCTCCCTGTGGTCCCTGGCTGCTGCTCCAGGGTGGTGCTTCCCTCAGTAGAGGCGCTCCATGACTGCTCTGTGTTGTGTACTAGGCTTTCTGCTCCACAGGCCTTCCTGCAGGCTACTCTCCGTCCACACTTCAGGTCTGTATGCACACCTCTGTCAGCAGCAGCCTCTTTGTGCAGTGCCTGGGCTGACATCTCTGATCAGCTGCAGCCTGCTTTGGGATGGTGGTCCGGCCATATCCCTACTGCCCCCTACCTGGAATAGCCAGTTGGCCAGTGCTCCCATCCACAGCTGGCAAACCTGAGCCACAGCCTGCTGCACCATTTCCGCTTTGGGATCTTGTGACTTACATTTTTAGGCTGTGGTTTGGTGAAAGGAACCAACACGTTAACGATTTTTTTCYCCAGAAGCCACTGAATAATTCTTTTTGGCATGTTTTTACCTTCCGGTTGGCTGTCTGGTTTTGGAGCAGTTGTAGAGAGCAGAGTACATAATCAGTGTCACCCAGAGGCAGGGCCAAGCTTTTCATGGCCTATTCTGCTCTGGCTTGTGCATCTTGGTCATGTTCTGTACCTGCTGGGCCACCTGCATACATTTCCACCTCACCCCTTGAGCAGCAGCATTGATACTAAGTGTCGCTTGAGTCTGAGGTGGAATGTAAGAGTGTGTCCCTGTGAGCTGTACTTGGTGACAGCAGTTGGGTTTTCTGCCTCTCTAGCAGCCTCATGTCCCAGCCTTGCCCTTCCTTCCATCCCTCCATCCGCTAGTCCCTGAAGCCTTTAACCAAACGGGAGTGGGTGCAGAAAGCCTTCTCCTGGCAACTTAGGGCAACAGGACAAGGGCTACCCTGTGTCCAGCTCTGTTGGTCTCCTGGCACTGAGAGGTGTGTCCAAGCAGAGTTGATCAGCCCCCGTCTGCCCTGCAGAGGGCTGAAGCCAGGGGATGTTGGAGGGGGTACCCTGAGATCCGCTGGAGTGAGGGCCGGGGTTCTGGCTGCAAGRAGAGGCCCAGGGGCCCACACCGTGTAGGGCGGTCAGGGACCTGGCCTCGGCGGGACAGCGGTCTTGGTGCCCACCCGCGCCCTGCGCAGTATTTATTGCTAAGTTATTGTCCAGGAGGGGCGGCGCTGGGCCTGGCCCCGGGTATTTATTGCTGTACATAGTGTATGTTTGTGATATATAAGGTTTTCTTTATTTTGTATATGATCAATAAACGCCTTTTAAAGAGACCTGCAGGTGCTTCTTTGGGGCGACGCGCTGGGGCCGGAAGGGGCGGGGGGCGGGCCCGGCGCGCGCATGCGCCCGCCCGGCTGCTGGGCGAGGCGGAAGCGGAAGCCGGAAGCGCGGTCCCCGGAGCGATGGCTGCCGGCGGTCTCAGCCGCTCGGAACGCAAGGCGGCGGAGCGGGTCCGGAGGCTGCGGGAGGAGCAGCAGCGGGAGCGACTCCGCCAGGTAGGCTGCCGCCGCGCCCGCGCCCGCGCCCGCCCGCGCCGCCGCTCACCGCCTGCCCGCCCGCCCGCAGGTGTCGCGCATCCTGAGGAAGGCGGCGACCGAGCGCAGCGTCGAGGAGGGCCGGCTGCTGGCCGAGAGCGAGGACCTTGTCACCGAGCTGCAGGGCCGGAGTCGGCGGCGCGAGGGTCTCAAGCGGCGGCAGGAGGAGGCGAGTCCAGCGTGGCGGGCGGCGGGCGGCGGGCGGCGGTGGAGGCGGCGGGCGGYGTGACCAGTCCCGGCTCCCGGCAGGTGTGCGATGACCCAGAGGAGCTGCGGAGGAAGGTCCAGGAGTTGGCCGGCGCCGTCCGGAATGCCAAATACTTGGTGGTCTACACCGGCGCGGGCATCAGCACGGTAGGGACCGCGGCGGGCCGGGCGGGTGTGGGCGCCCCCGTCTGGGCGACTGACCCGGAACAGTGCAGTGTAGAGTTAGGTCACCACCCAGTCGCAAAGACAAATTCCACCTTTAAAGCAGCTGTAAGGTCTCCTCATTTCGCCATTCACGAAACGACTTGATATAAAAGTTAAGTAAGGCAGACTTAAAAACGCTTCATCTGGGCTGGGGTTGTGGCTCAGTGGTTGAGCACTCGCCTAGCATATGTGAGGTCCTGGGTTCGATCCTCAGCGCCGCATATAAATAAAATAAGGTTAAAAAAAATAAAAACAAAAAACGCTTGATCTCTTACAAACACTAAAAATAAACAGACGGAAATAGGTGTAGAAGCCAACTTCCTTCTGGCACCCCCTCTTGAAGTTAACGGAGTTAATGGATGGACCCAGGTTATCCATTCAGTGTCCTGATATTCTGCTCATTGTGCTTTCCCCACCTTGTAAGGAAGAAAAATAGAAAGCAACCCGGTAATAATCAGAATATATGGGCAAAGAAATGTACTGGGTTTTGAGAAGTTTGATGAGCTATCCTGGACTGTGGAACAGAGCTAGCTTTGAAAGTGTGACTCACAGATCATTTAAACGCAGTCTGATCAAGGAGTGTGAAGTGTTAGGTATGTGTAAGCCCAGCAGAAGTGGACACAAGTGATTTCTACTCTGAGGAAGTTAGGTGACAGTAATCAGCCATGTAGACAAATAAACAGAATGCTGACTGGGGTTGCTATCCCAGAAATCCAGACACACCCTCAATACTCAAAACTGGGGCATCCATCCTGATGGGCTTGCTGCAGGAGGTATTGAATTGGGGCCATGAA